TTTTTTAGTTTCTGAACATATACTTCATGTTTATAAGTACTTAGAAGACTGAGAGGAAATATATCAATATGTTATCTGTAGACAGTATTATTAAGGGCAGTTTAAAAATGTTCTTTCATATTGTTTTGTATTTTTAAATTCTCTACAATAAGCATATATTTTTTATATTATCAGAAATGGATCTCTCTATATATGTATCTAAGTAGATAGATAATGAGGCAAATAGATAAAGTCTTGGGATGGAATCAGGGGCTGCTACATAAATCAAGTGTCCTTTGCCCTATACCATCAGATGGCCAGGAAGGAAAGTAGGAAGGAAGAGTTATTGGGTTAACTAAGGTCCACCAGAGAGAAGATGAAAGTTCTGTATTCTAGTTGTAAGATAAGAACTGTGTAGGAAAAGATGCACATATACGAATGTGAAGGAGAGAAGGCACTTGGCGTTGCTATTCATTGGCTTATCTGAGGCAATCCAAGGACACACATCTGATGGTGGTTAATGGGAACTGCCCTCTGGGCTTCAGAGGTCACATTTTGCCTGTCAACAGGTTCTCACTATCTCTGCATTTCAAGTGGGGTAAATGACTTTGGGTGGTGAGCATGGGTAATGGGGTGGCAACTTCACATCATTTAGCTTAACCTGCCAGGTGTGCTCACCAACCCCCTGTAACACATTAAGCTTTCCATGATGCCCAGCTTGGAATGCATGCAAAGGAGGTATCAGCTCATCAGAAATTCTGAGTCTTCAGTACACACTGGTGAGTATCATGATATCTGAAAATAACACAGAGTAATTTGGAATTCTTTAAAATTCCATGAATGTGAGGATAATACATATAAATTGAAAAAAAAAAGGAGCTGCTATTTTCAGGCTCAAAGACTACCCATTTTTCACCACAATAATTCTCCGTCAAGGTAAAGAGGTCATGGTGCTAATCATTAACCTGCCGCAGGATGTATCAAACTAAGTGACAGGCCAAAGGGGATCAGAAGTGGGATCCTTTCTTCTGACACAGAGATCCTATTTCTACATGACATTAAAAACAAAATAGAACAAAACAAAAATGAAAAAACAACCTCCTACTCATTTTGGTGGGGAAGACATGGATCATTCAATTAATAGTCCGGTGATGATGGGTAAAAATTATCCATATCTTACTCTAAAAGAAATTCCATCTTCTACTAAGTTAAATACCAAAAAAATGAGACCATAAAAAGGTTTAGACAACTATAGAGATGAATACAGAACTGATCTCAGTTTTGGTAAGGCCTGCCGACACATAGCCTCAACAGAAACAAAGAAAAAGGCTGATGGATATAAAAATATAAAAATGTAAAACTCCTGTATATCATTCTATATTATATGAATGTTAGTAAGTCCAAGGAAAAAACCATATAAATATCTCAATAGATGCTGAAAATGAATTTACTAGGTAGATACTCCGACAAGATACATATTCTGAGTCAAACGGCAATGTAAGATGTAACAGTGAAACATGAGACACATCCCCGTTAAGTAAGAATCAAGACAGAATTCCTACTATTATCATAGTTACTTAATGTTCTACAGTATTTACCAATGCAATGAGGGAGGAGAATAGAAACACAGAATAGCCGGAAAGACAAAATATCATTACCTGCTGGCTGTATGATATCAACCAACGATTAGAAACCATAAGAGAGACAGTAAGGTAGCTGATTATAAAGTTAAAAATCAATAGCTCTCCTGAGTACAAATAATACACCATTACAAAACTTCATGAAACAATCCTTCTATAAAAGCAGTAAAAGACATTGTACCCTGAAGATTAAAGTCTAATATAAAATAAGCATTCAGTCAAAATTGAAATGGAAAGTGTTTAGAATTTGACAAAACGATGCTAATGCTTACCCATATAAACGTAGGAGAATACGTAGGAAAAGCTTAACAAGAAAGCAATCAGAAGTGAAAATAAATGATAAACCTTTACTAATTTACAGTGAAATGCTGAAATCAGTAGCAGAGAATTCACAAGAGAACAGAATTTGGAAACAGATGCAATTAATATGGCTATTGGACATATGCTAAAGATGTGTTTGAAACTGGCAAGGAAGAAATACATGGTGTTTAGATAAGAAGACTGTTTTTTGGGAAAAATAACCTGAAACATCTCAGCTCACACTTTGCCATATACAATAAAAATACACTCCAGAGGTAGCAAAGTTTTAAAGAGAGCGTGAAAGCATATAGGCACTAAAATGACTGATACTGCTCCTTTTTAAAACTATTCCAAAATCCCTTTCCAATTTTACTCATAAAGGCAATGTCCCCAATTTAAATATTCACTCCCTCAGACTCTTTGGTAGCTGGAGGCAGCATGGGATGCATTTGCAGCCAGTAAGACATCAACTTAGGGTTGTGGGGAGGAGCTTAGGTTTCCTGGTACAGAGCCTCCAGGTCCTCTTCCCCTTGCTTCCTCCTGCCTGGAACATAAACATACTGCACCCACCTGTGATCAGGAGGCAAGAGGCATCACGATGAAAGCTGGCAGAAGGGAAAGATGAGAAGAGCATCTCTTCTAAGGAGTCTCTAAGGGTAACAATGAGCCAGTCTGGACTTACTATTGTGAGAGGCTTTAAGACACTACTGAGTATTCTCTTATTGTAGCTCAACTTGAGTTCCAACTGTTTCTAATGAAGATTATCTCACTCTCGCCTTTGGGAGGCCAAGGCAGGCAGATCACCTCAGACCACGAGTTCGAGACCAGCCAACATGGTACAACTCCAGCTTTAATAAAAATACAAAAAATTAGCCAGGCATGGTGGCAGGCACCTGTAATCCCAGCTACTCAGGAGGCTGAGGCAGGAGAATTGCTTGCACCAAGGAGGCAGAAGCTGCAGTGAGCCAAGATTGTGCCATTGCACTCCAGCCTAAGCAACAAGAGGGAAACTCTGTCTCAAACAAACAAAAAAGAAAATCAATAAAAATAACCGGGCATGGTGACTCACACCACCTGTGAGTAAAAAGAGCATCAAAGAATTTGAACGCATGTTTTAAAACTACCGTAAGCTGTAACTACTGAATCCAGCAATATCCATTCTACAAATTTATCCTGTAGAAGCAAGCAAAGTTGAGCATGAAAGATGTATATATATATATATATATATATATTTATATTTATATATATAAACAATGCTCATTCTGGCACTATTTATAACAATGGCTTTTAAATTTCATCATGCCTCTGAATCACCTGGAGGCCTTGTTAAGACAGATTTCTGGGGGCCACCCAAAGTTTCTGACTAAGGAGGTCTGGGGTGGAGTTGGAGAAACTGCATTTTAAAAAAAGTTTCTTGTTGACGTTGATTCTGCAGCTCTGAGGAAGAGACTGACAATCATTAATTTATACTATTACTACCTCAAATTCTATCACTGTACTTGTCTTCCCATTCTATAAAGAAAATTTGATTCAAGTATATCACAATGGAACAGGAAGAAATCCCTGGCCTTTTTACTACCTGGCAAATGTACTTTTAGTCGTATTTTTGATGGGGAGAAAGCTTTTTGGGCAACTGAACCTTAAGTCCTAACCTTCTAACCTCAGCACAGAATTGCTCAGGAGGATTAATGTGGAACTTGAAATGGCAGAATGTCAGAGGAACTTATTGACTCTGCTCCTTACCTTCCAATCAAAGGCATATTCAGGGCCGATGCCAGTCCCCGTCTCCTATCCTTAAATGCTTTAGTTCTATAGCTGTGGCAGTCTGCTACTAACTTGACAGGTGTAACAATATGAGAAGGATGAGTAAAGTAGCAGCTTTCCTAGATTACTAGCCATTCCATACTAGACAGCCTGAATTTTCCCGAGCAGCATTCTTAAGCTGGCGTCCTGCCGTAAGTCTGGAGGCACTCTGTTTCCTTGTGATACTTGATCTTTATTGATCTATTTTCTGTTTACAGTACATGCCTATGTGATACACGATAGCACAGAGCAGTTGATGGGGAAGAACACTGGGATAATCCTTCAGAACATCTGAACATTACTTCTTTTTTTTTTTTTTTTTGAGATGGAGTCTCACTCTGTCGCCCAGGCTGGAGTTTAATGGTGTGATCTCGGCTCACTGCAGCCTCCGCCTCCCAGGTTCAAGTGATTCTCCTGCCTCAGCTACCTGAGTAGCTGGGATTATAGGCACATGCCACAAAGCCTGGGTAATTTTTGTATTTTTAGTAGAGATGGGGTTTCACCATGTTGGCCAGGCTGGTCTCGAACGCCTGGCCTCAGGTGATCTCCCTACCTCAGCCTCCCAAAGTGCTGGGATTACAGGCGTGCACAGCCCATGGGGTATTACTTCTAAATTCCTTTCTGAGAAGTTACTGAAATCATCATCACTTTTTAAATTCAAAACTCTCTTCACTGCTCACTTTATGATTTAGAAACCTCTTATCTCATTCCAGTTTACTTTTCCAGATTTATCAATCTAACTCTCCTTACAAGAACTCTATTCCTCAGCCTTTAGAGGTAACTTGGGTTTCTCCAAATATGTACTGTGAAGCCGACCTTTATATAAATGCCATTTCCTGTCCCTGAAAGCTCCTCCCTGTGAATTATTCTCCATACTTGACCTGTGGCCCATCATTTCCTCCAGAATGACCTGCTCCAGTGAGGAAGGATACTGCGCTCCTCTGTAATCCAAGGTCACTGTTAACATTCATCTTGTATGATAAGTATTTGTAATGTCTCCTGTGTTCTATAATAGCGTAAGTTCCTCAAGGGCACAGACCACATGAAACTTCAGCTGAGGACTGCACACGCTGCTTGGCAATGCTTTACGGGAGCCCAGCATCATGGGACACTTTGGGGAGGTACACTCCAGATACAGGCTTGTAGAAATACACACATCCCATGCGCTTTCAAAGCGCATGACTGAAATACAATCCCATAATAAAAAACTCGAAACAAAACCAGAGAGTTGCAAAAGCAGGTTTTAAGCAACATGCAAATGAAGCAAGTATTTCTTACTTTGAGCTGTAGTCGCACCCTGGCCAAAAAGAATTTCCAACAGTTTTCTTCGGAGTCCACCATGCCCAGAGCATGAACTTCATTATGAATTCCAGAAATTATCTTGTCCACATCTTCATCACTGAACAGATCTGGGATTTCTCCTGCCCCCAAAGAATGAGTAGAATTATTAAAAGATCATTGCAGTTTAAATTTTACATATAACTTTTTAACATTTGAAATGACGTATAAGACGAAGTTCAGCATAAGAGTTTAAAATCAGAAATGTCACGTTTCTTTTTCTTCTGCATTTATAAGACATACAGTACATTCAGAACAAGCCATGATGATCACACCCTCTACACCCATAGGTGTGGGAATAATGCTTACTTCACTGAAGGCCTTTTCATCCATAAACAGACTAAGAAAGCAATATGCCTCAAATTAGGTTTACAGGTTTCTCCCCAAAGACTGCCCAGCAAACATCTCAAAGACAAATTCTCTCTCTTTAAAGTTCACTGAAACTACAGATAATTTGTCATTGGGGAAGATCTTTCAAGAAATGTGTTGGTTTAATCACCTGATGCCAGCAAGTCATTAATCAGCACGAGGAAGCTCTCATCTAGAACCTGGGCATCTGTCAGCAGGAACACAGTGGGCATGTTCTTGGCTCCAGTTTGGACGTACAAATTGGCAAGATCTACCTGCAAGGAAAGGCCATCATTCATGTTTTGTTAAAATGCTGATGCGGTGTTGAGAGGATGTGTGTGAGCGCTGGGGAGAATTGAATAACTACATCGCCATAGCACTGTGGGTGCCTTTCCCTGGTTTACATATTCCTTTTCTGAGGACCCCAGTGTAAAAGAAAGCAATGTGACATCACCTCCATTTCTGACATTTAAGGATGGGTGTCATGTTTCTGGTTTCTTGGAGCAGGGGGATGAAGACAGGCTGTAGATCACCAGCTCCCTTCGCACTGAGTACAGATGAATTCAGTGACGCCTTTTCTAAGCAGTGCCATAAAAAGAAGTGTGCTCATTTTAACAAGTGTCCTATTTTATTGAAAATGGGGTTTATTTCATTGCAATATTTAAAAAATTAGTGATTTTAAAAAATTTAAAATAACACTTGCCACAAACTGTAGGTACTATTTTCTAAGTACTACTGTTATTAAAAAGCACAAGTTTCTGGAATGTGTTATTCCTATTGCAGCTGCTTCTCCTATTCTTATCCAACGTGGAAGAAATGTATTTTCACTTGTAAAGCTAGTGGCTTTTCCCCCCAGTCATCATACAGAAACACTAACAGCAATGAGCATCAGGTTTGATTAATGGAAAATGGAAAGAAATTTGTGTAATCACGTATTTAAGTAAATATTTCCTGAGTCAGGTTTACACATTATTAAACCTACACAAAATTTGTAGAAATTTATTATTACTAATTTGACCTTAAAGGCAAAACAGCCAAAGGTAAATTGCTGCTCTAAAGAGCTCCCTCTCTCCCATGGTTGGGGAGGCCCTGGTCAAATCTGGGAGTCACAGCACACATGGGCACTAGGAGCCTCGGCTTTATCTGCCAAGCAGAAGGGTCAGAAGAAGTGCCTGTCCCCTTTACTCACCCGAAGTTCCTGGATTCCATAGCCCTCGGTCAGAGATATCTGAAAGACCTCAAGGCCACAAAGGTAAGCTGCCAGCCTGGACAAGCTCTGCTTGCCACTGCCCCCGACTCCAACCAAGAGAGCACAGCTCTGAGGGGTTCGTAAGATCCGGCTGATACGACACCTGGGGAAAGAAGTGCCCACCATGGCACAAAATCGAAAATGCCCTGGGACTACGTCTGTCTGTCTGTTTGTTTGTTTGTTTAGAGGCAGAGTCTTGCCCAGGCTGCAGTGCAGTGGTGAATCTCGGCTCACTGTAGCCTTCATCTCCCCAGTTCAAGTCATTCTCCTGCCTCAGCCTCCCAAGAAGCTGGGAGGCACCCGCCATCACGCCCAACTAATTTTTAGTAGAAACAGGGTTTTGCCATGTTGGCCGGGCTGATCTTGAACTCCTGACCTCATGTGATCCACCCACCTTGGCCTCCCAAGGTGCTGGGAATTACAGGCATGAGCTACCGTGCCCAGCCTATGTCTGTTCTGTTTATTCATTAGATAAGGAGTGAGAGACTAAATTCCAGTTTTTTATTGGAAACCTCTGGTCCGTGTTCATTTGCTTCCTCATCAAACAAAGATGCTATCTTTATCTCGCCCTTGAAGTGCTGCCATGACAAACCGTCCTATGCTAGTAACATTTTGGATTCTCTTGGTGCTTTGTTAGTCACCACCAAAAGTCCAAAGAAGAAAATATATGCAAAGGCCTTGTGTTAAAGGCTTCAAAATATTTTAATTAGCAAGAAAGATCCAAATTGCACATCAGCATCAAAGGGGGAATAGCCTTGTGCCAGAAATCTTTGCTGTAGAATTATTTTGGAAAGAATGGATTTGTTCAGGCCAACACGTCTCTCTGTGTGATTTACGCAGCAAATCAAACACTTGTTTCTTAATGTGATTCTTGCATCCTTCACACTAAAGCCTTCCCTTGTAACTACATCATTCTAGAATAATTTTCTGAAGCTGTTCAGTATCATAAAGTTAAATTTCCACCAAGGCCAACTAATCCCTTGTTCTATAGCATCCAAAGCATTCTGAATGCTTAATCCATTTATATTATTGCTATATTTTATGGCTACAAACTGGCTTTAACTTTAGCAAAAGATGGGTTTTGGCTAAAGAAATAGTTCATAATTATATTGTAAATATTAAGAAAACCAACAAAACCAAATATAAGCATGTAGATGGTAAAACATCCCAAATTTGATGCCATCATTTTGCTCTAGGTCGCTTTTCTGAAATGAACTTAAACTTCCGAACCTGAATAATCTACGTAAGTTTTTAAAAATAGTGCTTTTTGAAAAAACTGAGGTCAGTTATATTAGGACCAGCACATGTGAACATTTCCTGAAAGCCTCCAATAACTGAAAAGATAGGCTATTTTTATAAGCTCAGTCATCACATTAAATTTTACTTCACATGACCACACAACAAAACAACCTTGGGGAAAGCTATAAAATTACTCTGACATGAGAGATACCCCAAGCTATAAAGCAGGGTTTTCATTTCATTTTAATGTATACTTTGAGGTTTTTAACCTCACAAGATTCACTAAGTGGCAAAGTCCCTTTCTATAACATTCAAGGACATGCTCTTAAATCACCTGCAATGCTGAGTAAATCAGCTTCTAGCTCATAATCCCTGACCAAAGAAACAGTCTTACCTTTCAGGCCACTGAAAATTCTGTATTGAGGGATTATATGGGAAAACTTTTCCTCCCTATCAATGGGAGGTTTCTGTTTCACCTGAGCCAGGATGCACATACACAGTGAGTATATTTGAACTCAACCAGAGACAGCATTACCAATAGTTAATACCACGGTCTTAGATTCCAAGACCGTGGAATTATGAAACTTCCTTTGCATAATCAGAGGAAGGATCACAACTGCAAAGGGATCAGTAAAACTATCCACACTTAGTTGTGATGACAGGAAGGACTCTACAATTATCGTAGGCACTGGGGCCTAGGAAGATTTCAAAGATTAGTTCTTCTAAAACTGAATTCTCCACATCTTATTTTATTTGGATTCTTCCTTCTTCCTTTTATTTTTGAGAGAGAGGGCCTTACTCAGTTGCCTAGGCTAGAGTGCAGTGGCATAATCCTAGCCCACTGCAGCCTCGAACTCCTGGGCTCAAGCAATCCTCCCTCCTCAGCCTCCTGTGTAGCTGAGACTAGAGGCACATACTACCACACCCAGCTTACTAAATAAAACAATTGTAGGGATGATGTCTCACTATGCCACCCAGGCTGGTCTCAAACTTCTAGCCTCAAGTGATCCTCCTGCCTCAGCCTTCCAAAGTGCTGGGATTACAAGTGTGAGCCACCACACTCAGCCTCTTCTTGTTTTCAATGATTTCTTTTTATGCTTCCTTTTTAAGTCTTTGGCCGTTGTCAATGAGAGATGAAGGTGACTTGAACTAGGAAGGCAGTATCAGATGTAAACATGTGATCAACTTTCTACACAGAGTGGCAATGGTGAGTTGTTTAGCCCAAAAAATGAACTGTCATCCGCATGCTAAAACCCATGCAACCACTTCTCACTGGACTTAGAATAGAATCAAAGTTCCTTATTCTGGTTACACGGAAATACTCTGTATTGGTAAGGCCACTTCCTCCCTCTCCATTTTTGTTTTCTTTTTCTCTATGCTGCAGCTTAACTGATCTTCTTTTCTGTTTCTCAAACATTCTTGCCATAGGGTCAGATGCAATCTGCTCTCTGTCTAGAGTGTTTCATTTCCTCCAGATCTTTCCATGCTTAGCACCTACTTATCATTCAGGCCTCACTTTAAATGTCAACTCTTCACAGAGATGCCCAGCCCCTTTGGAAATTCACATATTCTATTTCTCACAGAATCAACCTATTTTATTTCTGGGTATGACACATCACTTTCTGATATTTTTCTTGCTTCTTCTCTTGCTTAGTTGTTCCTGTCCTTATAAAGGTCCATCTTCATTGCTAACATGTAAGCTCGACTGGAGAGGGGACTGGACTGTGTTCACTGCTGCTGTTTCCCAGCACCTAGAACCATGTCCGATAGGAGGGGCTGCAGATGGCTGCACGGTCTGTGAATGACACGAGGTACCAGGTCTAGGAGGTGAGCGAGAGCCTTGTCAGCCATGCTGTATCCAAGGACAGGTGCCTATTTTTAATTTTCTGCCAAGAAAGCATAAGCCCTCCCCATTTTTAAATAATTTGCCCCAAATTGCTGAAGAGGCCGACAGTGTTCCTATCTGGCACTCAACAGGTGCTCAACAAAACCTGCTTAATCAGTGAAAATTAGTTGGATTCCTTCATCCTTTATGAACTATATGACTTTGAACAAGCTATTTATGTTTCCTTTCTTAATATCCAAGTGAAATAATGGATGTGATGGCATCTCAGAAAACAGTGTACCTATGTAAGACATTATTAAGGTTGTGACATTAAAAGCAACCCTTTTATATTTGTAAATTATAAGACAAACGGCAGATAAGAACTGGTGGTTCAGAGTGCTTGGTATGATCTACTGAAAAGTGACAATTGTGGATACCCAGTAGCTCTTCCTTTTGTGAAAAAGCATCTTAACTAGTCAACTTACACGTGTTGCATGGCATCTTCAAATAAAACCAGGTGCATGGTAGCATTTAGTTCATTGTAGTTGTCTAAGGTTTCCGTAAGAATTGTCTTCAGCACTTCCCAGTCCTTTACTGGCATGTAACATGGGTCCTTCCCTCCATTAGCAAAGTGGCAATAAATGAGGGGCTGCTGAAGTAGCATGTGACTATCTATACCCTGCAGGATGAGAAAGAGAAAAATATAGCATGTCAACCATCCACAGAAGTCCAGCTGTGGGCAGCATAGCCGAGCAAGGGAAAAGCTTGCAGACCCACGCATGGGTAGGTGGGTGGAATGTTCCCAATCATACACTAGTGTATTCTGGAGTCACAGCCATTGCAAAAAGGTAAGTGCTTGTGCACTTCTCTCAGATCTTCATCTAACTTCGGTCCCAGTACCCAGTTAGTGTAGGAGTAAGTAGTGACCTCTGACATTCATATACTTACTTCAAAATATTTATAAGCAGTTTCCAGCATTTTTTTCTGAAACAAATCACAATCTTTTGTGTCTATCAGTTTGTCTCCATAAACACGGGCAGATTCATGAAGCCACAGATGTACTAAATCAAGTGAATCTTTTAAACACTTGGGGGAAGCAAATAAAATCCCCTACAAGGCAAGAATGGGGAAAATATCTTTAATTCAGAGGCTGATGGCATTCCAAATAAGATTTTCTTTAACACTTTTTAAACTAAAATGTGAATTTAGCAAATGGTTAAGTTGAAATAAATATTAGCAATAGTAATATGTGTGTTTGTGTATAAAAGTAGTTTTACAGCCAGGCATGGTGGCTCACGCCTGTAATCTCAGCACTTTGGGAGGCTGAGGCAGGCAGATCACGAGGTCAGGAGTTCGAGACCATTCTGGCCAACATGGTGAAACCCTATCTCTACTAACATACTAAAGAAAACAATTAGCCGGGTGTGGTGGCATGCACCTGTAGTCCCAGCTACTTGGGAGGCGGAGGCAGGGGAATCACCTGAACCCGGGAGGTGGAGGTTGCAGTGAGCCGAGATTGCACCAGTGTGCTCCAGCCTGGCTACACAGTATTTTAAAATTTTAGTAGGCTCATATCCCTTTTTAGGTGTGCAACTAAGACTATTTCAAGAGCCAGTGCAGGCACTAAATATCACATCTGAGTACTTATGTCTATTAAGTCTTAGAGTGGACTAAGTTCACAAAACCAAAGTACAAACAGCTAATATGAAGGTCACAGCTTCGTTTTCTTTTTAACTATAAAATCATTTGATATCAGTCTCATCTCTTCACTTCTCAGATGAAGAATATGAGACCAAAAGTAAAGTACCCAAATTCATACTTGATAGGTAGAGCCGAGTCTAGCACCAACACCACACTATGACTCCCATTCCCACTCAATGGTGCTTTCAGTGTCTCAGATTCATATCCAACACTCCTCACAGAGAGAGTCAGCTTACTCTGGATTCACAGGAGAATAGTAAGGGAGTTGTGGAGAATTAAGCTGCAAAAGGCTAAAGAATTATTTGGCGGTGTCAGGTGCAGCTGACAGACTGGATCTGAAGGGTGAGCAGGCAGTCCTCTTGTCCCATTTCACCTATGTCTTCTCTTCCCTTTTCTTCTGAGAGCAAATTCAGCTTTTAAACAACACTGTATTAAGCACTCTTTCTGGCAGGAGCTAGATACACAGACATGAAAAGAAGTGCTCTGTGTTCATGAGAAGTAACTGCCTAATGCTGTGTTATGGCTTTGAGGCAGCTTTGGATACTAAAAAGGGGGTTATAAAAATATAAAGAAGTCCTATGGAGTTTTCATATTTAACCCATATGCCACCTCTCTCACAAAAGAAGTTTAAGCTACCCATTTTTACTGTATAGGTAGAACACATTAGTTGATTTAAAAAAATAATTCTAGACCTTCAATTCCCTCTTCAGAATTTCCTAAGTCAAATACATAAACGGTGTCCTTTTACTAGGTAAGCAAGGTGATTTTCAGTATTAAACCAAAATGATCCAACAATTTAAAAATTACTATTTATCTTAATCTATGTTTAAAATCACACATAAATGCCTTGTGCAAAACCATGATCACTTTCCCTTCTTACTTGGCACTCAAAACAGTAACACTCACCCACTCAATCTAGAGTCCAGGCTCCTACCTCTGCCTCCATTGCTAAGTCACCATACGCCATGGCCTGAATTGCCCCTACAATTCATTTACTGAAAGTTCATTGCCATGTGACAATATTAGCAATATAAAGTCACCTTTAGGAGGTGACTAAGTCATGAGGGCAAAGTGATCTTATGAAAGAGGTGCTGGGCATTTACCCTTTTACTCTCTGCCCCTTCTGCCCTGTGAGGATGCACCACTTAGGGTGCCATTTTGGAAGCAGAAACCAGGCTCTCCCCAGACACTGAATCTGCCAGTGCCTTGATCATGGACTTCCCAGCACCCAAAACTGTGAGAAGGAAACTTCTATTATTTATGAATTACCCAATCTTGGCTATTTTGTCCAAGCAGCACAAAGACACTATATGATCTGAGGAGAGGCACTGTTCTCATTGATGAAATGGTAATAATAAACCCACCATATTTACTTCCTGAGAAGTTTATGAGTAAAGTTAAAGGATACATATAAAAGTATATAGCATAGTTTCAAGCTGTTTTATAAATGAACACCATTAACAGTATGGTATGGTTTGGACGGGTGCCTCCTCCAAATCTCATGTTGAAATGTGATTCCCAGTATTGGAGGTGGGGCCTGATGGGAGGTGACTGGATCATGGGGGCAGATCCTTCATGAATGGTTTAGCACCATCCCCTCCATAAGTAAATTCTCTCTTGGTTCATGCAAGATCTGGTTGTTTAAAAGTTTGGGACCTGCCCCACTCACTCTCTTGCTTCTGTTCTTGCCATGCAAAATATGAAGTGCTGGCTCCCCACCGTCTTCCACCATGACTGCCAGCTCCTGAGGCCCTCATCAGAAGCAGATGCTGGAGCCATGCTAGTACAGCCTGCAGAACTATAAGCCAATTAAACCTCTTTTCTTTGTAAATTACCCAGCCTCAGGTGTTTCCCTATAGTGACACAAAATATGGCCCAATACACAGTATTATAATTATTTCTCTACTTAAGAGGCATCACATAGAGCAGTCAATGTACCTGGAAGACGTTGGATAGATCTCTCAGATTAAAGACATAGTGGAATTTAATAGCTGTGGGTAAAAAGTTACACATCATTGTCTGATGGAATGCTATTGCTGCCTGAATCAAAGCAGGCCCACTCCTGAGAACTGATGGACCAAATGCTTGCTGTTGGAAATGGAAACTGAAGATTTGGCCATAGATGGTGCTTAGTGCATCCAAAGATGGAAAATTGAATGCAAACACTGTGAAATGTCTCTGAAAAGAAAAACAAATATAAGAGTGTAAGGATTATGATTGTACCAGAAAACTGCCAAGACCTGATTTTTTTCACTCCTACCTATATCCAGGCCCATTACCATGCAGCTTTTTAGTGCTCCACTCTGACTCTGGGGTTGGCCATGTGATTTACTTAAGCCAACAGAATGAGGTGGAAGTGATAGTCTGCCAGTTGTTCTCAGAGGTGCATGTTTTTACTTGCTTTGTTAAGTCTCTAACTTTGCAATCGACTCTACAAGCCTGATAAAGTATGAGAGACACATAAAGCAGGGCCATCTTGTCCTAGTCACTCCAGCCAAAGCCACATCAAATTAACTGACAGTTTATCCCCGCATGCATAGATGAGTCCAGCGAAGTTCAGCAGTCACTGAGCTCACTCTCAGCTGAGTCCAGAGAGGTAAGAAACCACTGTATGTTACTGAATGTGTGTTGGTGGTAGCTGTTGCTGTTGTCATGATTAAAAAGCTTATATGCCTACACAAAACCTGCACACAATTGTTTATAGCAGATTCTTTCTTAATTGCCAAAAGTGAAAGCAACCAAAGTATCCTTCAGTAGGTGAATGAATAAGCAAGCTGTGATGCATTCATTCAGTGACTACCACTCAGCAACAAAAAGAGATGAGCTATCAATATCAAGCCATGGAAAGACATGAAGAAATCTTAAAGGCATAGTTAAGCTATGTGGGAAAAAAGCCTATTTGGAAAGACTACATACTCTATGACTCTCACTATAGAAAATTCTGGAAAATGCAAAATTTATAGAAATGGAAAATATCAGTGCTTAAGGGATTAATATCCAGAATACATTGAGGCCTCCTAAAACTCAGTGATAACAAAATAACCCAATTTAAACATGAGCACAAGACTTGAATAGACATTTCCCCAAAGAAGATACAAAAAAAAACTCCCCCCCCTGCCCCCGCCAAAAAGAAGAGAAGCATATAAAAACATCACTAATGACTGGGAAAATGCAAATGGTAACTATGAGATACTGCCTCACACCCATTAACATGATTACTATCAAAACACAAAACAAAACAGAAAGTAAATGTGCATGAGGAGGTAGAGAAACTGGGACCCTGATGCACTGTTGGAAGGGGATAACATAAGGTCTAGTTGTCACGGAAAACAGTAAGATTATTTCTCAAAAAATTAAAAGTAGAATTCTGTTATGATTCAGTAATTCTGCTGCTGGGGGTATAACCCAAAGAATTAAAAGCAGGGTCTTGAAGATACATTTGTTCACCCATATTCACAGCAGCATTATTTACATTAGCTCAAGTGTGGTAACAACCCAAGTGTCCATCAGTGAATGAATAACTAAGGAAAATGTGTTATTCATATTCTATTACACTAAAGGAAATGTGTGATAGAATATGACTCAGTCATAAATAGGAAAGAAATTCTGCAATATGCCATAACTGGATGAACCCTGGACATTACACTGAGTGAAATAAGCCAGCCACAGAAAGACAAATACTGGATGATTCCACTTATATGAGGTACTTAAAATAGCCAAAATCAGGCTGGGCGCAGTGGCTCAAGCCTGCAATCCCAGCACTTTGGGAGGCCGAGGTGGGTGGCTCACAAGGTCAAGAGATCGAGACCATCCTGGTCAACATGGTGAAATCCCGTCTCTACTAAAAATACAAAAAATTAGCTGGGCATGGTGGCGCGTGCCTGTAATCCCAGCTACTCGGGAGGCTGAGGCAGGAGAATTGCCTGAACCCAGGAGGCGGAGGTTGCGGTGAGCCGAGATCACGCCATTGCACTCCAGCCTGGGTAACAAGAGCGAAACTCCGTCTCAAAAAACAATAAAGAAAAGAAAAAAAAAATCGTAGCCAAAGTAGAATGGTGGTTGCCAAGGAGGGTGGCGGGGGTGGAGAGGAGAAAAAGGGGAGCTGTTGCTTAATGGGACCAGAAGTTTAGTTTCGCAAGATGAAAAGAGTTACGAAGATGGGTGGTGATCTTGGCCGCACAACATTATGCGTGAGTTAATATTACTGAACTGTACACTTGAAATGGTTAATGTGGCAAATTTTATGTAACATATTTTACAACAATAATTTTTTAAAAAGACGAAAGATCATCTGTTACTAGGGACTCAGAGGGGAAGGAGTGAAGAATGAATTGGTAGAGTACAGAGATTTTGGGGCAGTGAAACTATCTTATATGATATTGTAACATCTGTTGAAGTCCATGGAATGTACAATACAAAGAAAGAATCCCAGTGTAAATGCTGAACTTTAGTTAATAGTGTTTCAATATCGGCTGATCATTGTAACTAATGCAAGATGGTAATAATAGGGTAAAACAAGTGGGGGCACTAAGGGAGTATATAGGAATTATTTGTACTTCTAGCTGATTTTGCTATAAACAATGATATTAGAAAATAGTCTACTAGTTAAAACAAAAAAGCTTATTAGAACCCCTGTCCACTTTTAGTGGGAATAAAATATAGTACAGCTGCCATGAAAAACATGCTTAACCAAAGGTCCCCTAGGAATCCTAATCTGTACTCAAAAGCAGTAAAATACAGATCAACAGTTCAAAAACTGTATTTAACACCCCACCTGTAGCCTAGGATTGATGGTGAAACTGCCCACCATTGGATTCATGCAGGCGACATACTGGCAGTTGTGGATTTCTTTAAGCATCACCTTCTGTCTATCATACCTAAAAGACAGAAAATAGAACCTTAAATCCAAAAACTGGAGATGACAAAACAGCAAAATCTGACAGTTCATAAAGGATTTCATCACAAATTATCTTCTTTCTTTACAACCACTCTGTGAAGTTGACCTTGTGAGCCTCATTTGAGAGACATCAAAACTGAAGCTCAGAAAACTGAAGGTGACTTATTTCTCTGATGCCAAAATCAAGACCTGGAACTGAATCAATATAAACTATTACTGCTTACTGATTCTCATGTTACCCTGTAGAAACTGTCTTGTACCCATAGCAAGACTCCATGGAAGGGCTCGGGGCTGTCCCTGTAGTTAACTGTCAGGGACTGCAGACTACAGTGCCCAAATGTTTATATCCTGCCACATAAGATCAAGTTTCTCTTAAATAATTTAGTGAGAGTTAATTTTTTTTTTTTTTGAGACGGAGTTTCACTCTTGTTACCCAGGCTGGAGTGCAATGGCACGATCTCAGCTCACCGCAACCTCCGCCTCCTGGGTTCAGGCAATTCTCCTGCCTCAGCCTCCTGAGTATCTGGGATTACAGGCATGCATCACCGTGCCCAGCTAATTTTCTGTATTTTTAATAGAGGTGGGGTTTCACCATGTTGACCAGGATGGTCTCGATCTCTTGACCTCGTGATCCACCCGCCTCGGCCTCCCAGAGTGCTGGGATTACAGGCGTGAGCCACTGCGCCCAGCCCGAGAGTTAATTCTTAAAGAGGGCATGATTTCTGGACAGTCCTAACATTTCTGAGATACTTTTCAATCCAATCTCCCAAAGATACAAAGGGAAACTATTCCACTTAATATGATGAAAAGAGATACAAAGGAAAATTATTCCACTTAATATGATGAAAAGAGATAGAAAGTAAACCCAAAAGATATTCCTTAGAAGGAACTGGGGATAATTCTACTTGAAAATGTTCATCCATAGTAATTATTAGATTTGGGAAGAAAGTAAACTCCAGAGACTTGCTTACCAATGCCCATAATCAATATGCTGTCGGATCAGGGTGTGAGGCTGCACAGTGCCATAGAAGTCCACTTCAGGCATGTTCATGTCATCAATAAAATAAATCAATTTTTTATTTCCTCTTGGACCATAGTTATGACCAGCTTTTTTCTCTAGGGGCTTCTCGAGGATTTCTGAAATAAATGATATTTCTGTCTACCAATCAACAGAATGTAAATGTTCTGTCTACAGTCATTTCTCTCTTGCTCTTACCTTCTTCTGTTGATTTCTTCCACCCACAGTTTCAGGTATCACCTCTTCATAGGTTAGGAGACCTGAGATGTGTCTCTGGCCCCTCCTTCTATGTCATGCTTTCTGGCCAATCTCCCTCTTGTTGCCAGAAGTCACTCCACCTCTCCCTTTATGGAGATTGCAACATGTGCAGCACGACATCACATTGCCCATCACAGCTGAAACAACCCAACCACTAATCTACGCACTTCTTCCCTGTACCCATTCTACATGGCCTCCACTAGTCCAACCATGGCCTGGTCTCTCAGTTCTATTCTCTATCATCCCTGCAGAAAAGTCTGGGAACAGCTCAGGAAAGTCTCCCACACCTGTCTTCTTAGGCTGCTGCAGTGCAGAAGCACAAGAACAACAGAGTATGTAGACACCAACCACAATGTAGACACTATCTGTGAATACAAGGAGTTACATTTCTTCCTGTACCTATATGACTTTCCATCTATTTTTTAAAGTTTTATGTGAAGAAAATCCAGAACAGCGTGTGTCTGAGACATTGTATCTAATTACTTGTTGACTCTCCAAACAGACTATAAATATTTTAAGACCAAGGAACTATGTGATATTCACTGCTATACCACTGGTGACGGCCACAACAAATACTTTTAAAACAATGAGCAAACAAACAAATGAATGAAAAAATAATTGTGCAATAGATAAAAACCTTTTCCAAGAGGCAGACTCACATTTCTGAACACTTGCTGGACATCAATTCTTACCAGGCATTGTATCCAATGTTCAGCCAACACTGAGTCTGCCTCTATCCAAACTCAGCTTAACATCTTTTCTTCCCCACTCAGAATTCACCTCTTTTCTTTTGTCTCTGTGCTCTTGCTTATGGGGTTAACATGCCCATTGGCCAGATACAAAGCCTCCCAGTAAACTCTCTTTCCTGGTCCCCCGTTTGCCCAACCACAGCCTATGCATAGTACTTCATGTCATTTCCATATGTTCCCAAGTTGCCACCTAATTTTTTACAACTCTGGTATAGGGCCACATTACATTTAGCTTTTATACTACTCAGGGGGGCTGATCTCCCCACCTCAGATCTCTTTTCTCAAAGAAAAAACTGTCAAAGAACAGTTCTCACCTTGTCAGTTCCTTGCTCCCCTATCAATGGTTCACCATTTTCCATCAAATGAAATACAGTCCCCTCTGTTTGTATCTCAGCATTCTCTAGAGTTGGTGTGATCAACCATCTGTGGTTGCCTGGGACTGTCCCAAGACACTCTGGTCTTTCAGGGAACTGGACAGGTAGTCATCCTATGAGCAGTATAACTCCAAGTCAGCAGCTGAGCCTTTTCTGCATCTTCCACCCAATCACTATGCTTCAGTCATTATAGAGATTCAATTCACTGAATGTGTCCCACAACTTTCTCTCTTCCATGTCTTTGCTTAAGCTGGTCCTTTATCCTAATCTTCTTTGCCCATTTGTTGTCCCGTTTCAAATGGCTGAAATCATAATTCTCTTTACAAGTACACAGACAACTATAGCTCCTTCTATTCTTCATACTAACAGGCCATCTCTAAATCTTATTCATGCCTGTATTCCTTTTAGGAATTAGCAAGATGCACTCACATCATAATCAAGTAATTTGTCCACTACTGAACTGCAGCCTTATCTTCCACTTATAAATCATAGAGTCTTCCTTTCATCCCTACAAATTAAAAACATATACCCTACAAAATCCTTGGGAAAAGTAGGTAAATCATATGTATTTGCTGAAGTGATGAATGAAATTATGTAGAACTGGCTTTTTTTGGGGGACAGGTATCTCAATACATTGCCCAGGCTGGACTCAAATTCCAGGGCTCAAGCAATCCTCCCACCTTCCTCCCAGCTCAGCCTCCTGAGCAGCTGGGACTACCAGTAGGTACCACCACACCTGGCTTGAGCTGGCTTTCTAAAGGTTCCATTCATAAAGACAAGTAAGACCAACCAACTAATAAAAAGATGACAGAAAAATCATCACTACTGGCTGTTAATGACGTCAACGAGTAAAAATACTATTAGTCTCTACCGATGCAGCTAAGAAAACAACATATATTCACACACATACAGATACCTCAGCAACCCACAGTCAGGGCAACTCAACAGTTTTAATCAACAACCAGACAGTAGAGCGACTGGCTGACCCCCACCGGAGTCCCCTTTCCCTGCTGGACAGTGACTGGCCTTCTGACATCAGCTGTTTCTGTGATTTTCCCTCTACTTCCCATGTCTCTTTTGCTTGCTCTACCTAACTCTGGGAATGTCCCATTTCTGGGTGGGTCTTTTGATTACACTGATTAGTTATTCATTAGTTCAAAATTAGTTCTAGTGACTTAGGATTTCATTAATGACTCTTCGCTCTGTCATTTACTCAACACAGTTTTAATGAATTTCTTCTAAATCAATATTGTACTTGAAAAAGTAACCATCCCTCCTTGAGTACACCCTTATATTGTCAAGACTCCATGAAATTAAAGGCAACCAATGGTTTTGAGGTAACACATTAACACTATTGATGTATATTTTTGCTGTTCTAAAGCATGATCACCCAAATAACGTCATGAGTGACATAAAATGCCAAAGTGACAACAATATTTAAGCAACATATATTTAATAAGGATGATGATGATAAGTAAAAATTCATCTGAGGCCGAAGCAACAACTGTAAATTCTAGGGAAAGGCATTATGAGTCTTTGGGGGCTGCATGTCCCCATCTTCATGATTTTTGATCCCATGTTTCTGGAAAATAAACAGGTGCACGCACTTACTTTGCAGAGTTGCGGATGTTGTGTAGTAGTTGAAAGGCACACGGGATACTATGTAATCTTCACAGAGACTTGCCAATGTGTCACCTACGAAGACTGTTTTCCCCACTCCGGCATTTCCTACTAGCATTAGAGGCTTTCCTTTCTCAAGCAACAACTCAATGAAATATCTAAGACGAGTTGTCTCTGATGTGTGAACCAGAACTGTCTGGGAGGAGAAACAAAATCAGACAAAGATCAGAGAGGAAGAAAGAGAGAAAGTGAGAGAGAAAGAGAGACATTCCAAAATTTTATATATAAAAAAAGTGGCACAGTCACTTCAGAATTGAGATCCAAATAATTTGTAGTACAGATTAACACCCAGCGGGAGAGATTCCACCTTATTTTCAGCTTTTAATGGTCAGAGTTCAGACACTGTAGCTTGACGAGAGCAATTGGGTAATGCATCGAAGTAACCATAACTAAAACACTGATTTATCATTTACAATTTAAGTACTAGCCCATAAGGCCTCTTATTCCAGAATATACCCTCTGCCCAACATCATGGTAAGCACAGAAGGGAATACGGTAAACATATAAGAAACCATCTACAACATTTCAGGATATGAGGAAACATTTGCGAAGTTAAGCCACACATAAATGAACACTGGGACTAATGCCTTGGCCTGGTTAGATCAAATGGCTAAATAATTCAGCACAGTCCATTTAAAGGAGTTCAGTGTGGGAAGAGATCAGTTTAGGGAGAAATGATGGCTTTTAAGTGGAATATTAAGAAACCAAAACACATTTGAAACGTATCATGCCTTGCTTTGTTAGAAACTAAAGCTTAATTTTTCTGTTTTAAAAATTAGCAGTTTATTTACTTATAAATGCTATATTACTTTACAAACAATTTGAAGTGGCTTACAGGAAAACAATAAAAAAACAAAAATCAAACTCGGGAACACATTAAAATGTAAGATCGGAACAAGAAGTACATATAGACATGCAGTAAACAGAATTTTGCTCAGTGATTAAAAGACAGCTGATCCTGGGTTTTGGCACCAAAACAGAACACAAAGTACAAAAGACAGTTGACAATTTGGTTGCATTTTTTGGTGTTCAAATTTAAAGGGAGGGGAGAACCTACCTGCAAGATTCAGATTGTTCATAAGAAATCCACAGAAATTCTATAATTGATGACGTTCTTCTCTACCTAGTTAGCATGTACTAACCACAATGGACTATTCTGGGTTTTAAAAATTATTTTTTTTTTGAGACAGGGTCTCACTCCTATGCCCAGGCTGAAGTGCAGTGGCGTGATCATGGCTCACTGCAGCCTTGACTTCCTGGGCTCAGGTGATGCTCCTACCTCAGCCTCCCAAGAAGCTGGTCCTACAGGCATGTACCACCATGCCCAGCTAATTATTTTGTATTTTTTGTAGAGATAGGGTTTTGCCATGTTGTCCAGGCTGGTGTCAAACTCCTGGGCTGAAGTGATCACCTGCCTCAGCCTCCCCAAGGGCTAGGATCACAGATGTATGCCACCATGCCTCACCCAGCTGAATATTTTATACACAATTCAAGATCATCCCCATGATGGAACATTTGCTCTAGAACTTCATTTTAATTCCGTGACACTCTTAGGGCTTACTGAAAAACAGACTGTTCTATGCTATACTAGACAGTCCTAGACTACTGTTTAAAAAATATTCGAGCTGCATCTCATATGTTTTCACCTTTCTTGCTGTTAGTTGTCATCATTTGCTTTTAAATTTGTCTACTGGCTCTTTTTTCCACACATTAATACCAATAATTAACACTTACTGGGAAATACGTGGCAGATACCATGCTAAGCACTTTATATGCATAATGTCATAAGATACCCATAACAAACCTATAAAGAGAGTTACTAGTTTTATTTCAGAGGTGACTAAACTAAAGCTTAAAGAACATGACAGACTTGGTCAAGGCATAACTACTAGTAAGTGGCAGTACTTTGATTCAAACCCAAGTCTGTCAGAGCCTGACCTGTCTCTTATGTATACATAGAATGCTCTTCAGAGCATGGACTCTGGAGTCAGGCTGTCTGGGTGTGAATCCTGCTTTGCTTGTTTTAGTGTGACCAACTCTTGTTTGCTCAGGATTTCCGTTTTAAAATTCAAAGTCCATTGTTCCCCAAATGCCTTTAATCCCAGTCAAATTAGAACTGTTGGTCGTCGCATACTTACTACCCATATAGCTGTGAACCTATTTCTTCTCTTTGTGCCTCTGTTTCTCCCTGTGTAACAAAGGGCTAGTGACAGCCTCTGCCTTAGAAGGTTGCTGTAAGGATGGCTTTTTGTATAGCACTCAATAAAGGGCCTGGCATATAACAGCATAATATTAGTATTCACTATTATTATTGACTTACTATGGTTCTCTTCTATGATATCAAGATGCTGTTAATCAAATAACTGCATTTTGTACAACTGTGCATAAAGAGTACAAACTCCTCATAGGTTCTCTTTTCAGTACAAGATATCATCACTAAGGTGCATGAGCCTTGTGATACCAGTTTTCAGATCTTAAGCAGTTCTTGGCTGATCAGTTTCTCAGCCTTCAGCCAGCTAGATCATACTTGTAGGTAGCTGAATTCTAGGTGGCTTCAACAAAAAGCAAGGTTTCCAAACAGATAAAGTTAATGGAGCAGGCACTTTTGGCTGCATCCCAACCCCCTTTCCCCACTCCTTTTTTTTTTTTGAGATGGAGTCTTGCTCTTGTTGCTCAGGCTGGAGTGCAATGGCACAATCTTGGCTCACTGCAACCTCTGCCTCCAGAGCTCGAGAGTCTCCTCCCTCACTGCAACCTCTGCCTCCCGAGTTCGTTCAAGTGATTCTCCTGCCTTAGCCTCCTGAGTAGCTGGGATTACAGGCACCCACCACAACGCCCAGCTAATTTTTTGTATTTTTAGTAGAGAAGGGGTTTCACAATTTTGGCCAGGCTGGTCTTGAACTCCTGACCTCAGGTGATCCACCTGCCTTGGCCTCCCAAAGTGCTGGGATTACAGGCATGTGCCACCACACCTGGCCTTCCCTGCTTCTTTGTTGGGAGAGACCCCACACCAAGTCCCCACCACTCATCCATGTAGCCATGTATTCCATGAGAAAAATCTGCCTGGCTCTTGCAGGAGGTGAGGACTCATCAAAGCCCATCATGGCAGCCCCACTGCCCAGGCCTGAGATTGGGTTAGAGGTGGCACGTGGCCCAGTCTGCAGAATTAGATGCAGGTGGCAGTCAGCTCCAGGCTTCTGAGGAAAGTGTTGTAGCTCTTAATAAAAAGATAAGAGAAAGTCCCTTTCTCCTTTGAAGTCTTCTGGGACCACTAGAGTGATCTTGAGACCAAAGGGATGGCTGTCTTAGAATGAAGTCAGTGTGAAGCAGAGCAGTGCAGAAAGATGGGATGGTCAGAATCCTTGGTGATTCTGCCAAGTCACAGAATTAATCTGCATTGTGGTTATTCGACCTCTAAATTCCTTGTTTGTGACATGATAAATTTCCTCATTGTTAGGTGTTACGGGTTGAACTGCCTACTCCCCGAATTTCTATGTTGAAGTTGTAACCTGCAGTACCTCAGAATGTGATGTTATTTGGAAATAGGGTTGCTGCAGACGTAATGAGTTAGGATGAAATCACACTGGAGTAATACTGCAGGCTGATAATGTTGCATACCCCCAATGTTCATGTCATGAAACCCTAACCTCTGTATTTCAGAATGGGATTGTATTTGGAGATAGGGGCTTTAAAGAGGTGATTAAGTTAAGGTGAAGCCCTTAGAGTGAACCCTAATCCAATCTGATGGGTGCCCTCATAAGAAAACTTGGACACACAGGGAGACATCAGGGATACACATGCACAGAGAAAAGCCATGTGAGGATGCAGAGAGAGAGTGACTATGTGCAAGCAATGAAGTGAGGCCTCGGTACAAGCCAAATTTGCTGACCCCTTGAGCTTGGACTGCTAGCCTCCACAGCCGTGAGGAAAGAAATTTCTGTTGTTTAAGTTGCCCAGTCTGTGGTATTTTGTTATGGCAGCCCTAGCAAACCAATACAGTTGTCCTCCCTTAAACTTGGTGAGGTAGGGTCCAAGGCCCCCAGGGAATGCGTGAAACCACAGATGGCATGGAACCCTACATAGACTGTTTTCTCCTGTATCTATATACCTTTGATAGAGTTTAATTTATAAATTAGGTACACTAAGAGATTAAAATTATTAACATAGAACAATTATGTCAGCAATACTACTCATGCACTTTGGGGTCATTATTATGTAAAATAAGGGGTGCTTGAACGCAAGCATTGCAATATACAACTGTCGACCTGGTCACCAAGCCAGCTGGATGAAGGGATGGTTACCGTCCTGGGTGGGATGAAGTGAGATCATACAAGATTTCATTCTGCAACTCAAATCAGTGTGCAACTTAACTTACAAATTGCTTATCTTTGAAATGTTCCACTGAATATTTTTGGACCACAGGTGACCATAGGTAACTGAGACTTCAGAAAGCAAAGTCATGGATAAGTGAGGGACTACTGCACAGGTTTACCTGTTTGTTTGAATTTTTATTTGTAAATTTATGTGACTAGTTTCAGAAATACAGATTATTCTGCAATTTGCCTTTTTCAAATCAACATTATACTTCTGAGATATGCTTATACTGATGTATCTAGGTCTAGGTTATTTTTCTTACTGCTGTATAGATTTCCATCCTACTAAGAAACTACAACTTCATTTCTCAATTTTCCTATTTTTGGGTTGTTGTTAGGAACAATGTGGCTATGATCATCTTTGTATGTGCAGTTGGATTTCTTTAGGTTACAACTATAATTAAATTTTTTTGGATCTCAGAGCTAAAATATGTTTTTAGAAAGTGAATTTTTAATTGACAAAATTGTATATATTTATTGTGTATAACCTGATATTTTAAAATATATATACAATCTAAAATGGCTGATTCCAGGAAATTAACATATACTTATGACTCATGTGCTTATTATTATTTTTTTTGAGACAAAGTTTAGCTCTTATCGCCCAGGCTGTAGTGCAATGGTGTGATCTCGGTTCATTACAACCTCCATCTCCTGGGTTCAAGCAATTCTCCTGTCTTAGCCTCCTGAGTAGCTGTGATTACAGGCACACGCTTCCACGCCTGGCTATTTTTCATATTTTTAGTAGAGATGGGGTTTTGCC